ATTATATATATATATAATTTATTTCATCATAACTTTATGTATATTATTTTTATTCTAACCAGTTTACTGCCATAAATGGTAATAAAATATTGTGATATATAAACAATGAAATACTGGTTTGGATACAGGAACTTACTGATTTGATAACTGTTGAGATCGGGGAGCAGAGTAATATTTTAACTACCAGTGTGTTCCAAGCTCTAAGCTAAGTGTTTTACATACATGATCTCATTTCTCTTCAGAATAACTCTGAGTTAGATATTATTCCTTTTAATTAATAATGTAGCTTAGTTTCTGGAAATTTATACTTTTAATATATAATTTTAAAAATTTAAATTGGTTTTAGAATAAATTAATGGCATATAATTTTCTAAACACTTGATAGGTAAAACAATGTTTAATAGGTACATAAGATCACCTACATACTTCTTGGCATTGAACCTAGTTCTCTGATATGGTGGTTCCTGTCTGAAACATGTTTTATTGACTGTCTGCTACATGGTTCATAAAACACAGTTCATTAAAATGAAAGTGTAATTGTCATTTGATGAATCTAGATTTCTTACATAACTGTAAATGACTTACCTCAGCAGAGACACATAAAAAGTCAGTAATAACAATTATTGCTAATATTTATTTATTAATCAGGTAAACCTAGTCAAAATATCAAGCAAGAAAATTCCCACTGTAGACGCTGAATTACTGCGCTGGAATCACCAGGTGACTGTAATAAATTCATTGTTTTGCATTGGAATGAAAGAACCCTGGGGAGAAGGATCTACGTGAAATGGATATAGAGGATTTGAATCTGCTGCAGTGACAGAGAAAGGGTAAGAGCCAAGTCCTTCTTAGGAAGAACAGTCTAGAGAACTTATTTTTCCTTTCCCTGGTCTCCAATTTTCAGAGGCCCCAGATGAGTCAAAGAAGAAAAATGAAGTTGAAAGATGAGGTTCAGATGAACGTGATTCATTTATCCACAGAAGACTGAGCTCCAAAAGGATTATGGGAAGGAGCACCCTGGGGACCATGTTCCTCCCTCAGGAAGCCCAAGGGGACAGTGTGGTTCCTATTTGCTTTGTTTTGCAACATTTGGAGAGATGATGACTGTTGGGTTAGAGATGCCAAGGAGATCCTGATGACGGGGAGGGATTGTAAACTGAAAAAGAATGTAAAATTGGTCAGGAAGCCTGAGAGTGGAACACAAGCAAAGAACAAGTCAGTCTCGTTTCCTAAGGAGATTGTAGCCAACTTGATTCTTCAGTATTCTGTTAACTAGCACCAAGGAAGAGGTTTTAAAAATGCATAAACCACAATAAGCAGTATTTAAGGTTAAAAAATCAGAGTGGTTTTACTAGGAAGTGTTTTAAAGCAAGAAAAACTGAGGACGAAAGCAAACCCGCATGTTGGCACTATTCTCTAAGTATATCCACAAGAGAAGATGCAAATGAGAAGCAGAAACTAAGAGTTTAGTGCAGAAAGGATGGTACCAACACTGCTAATTTGGGAAAAATTACTCTAATGCCTAACTGAAAATAGTAATAATAAATACAAATAGCAAAACATTTTACGCAGAAGAAAATTATTACTTTTTAAAGCATCCACTAGTAACTACTGTGCAATGAAATGCTTAAGGAGAATTAATTTTAAAAGTTGCTTATTAAAATGACCAAGGAAAAGATTCTCTCAGTCTTGTTCCAACTGAGATTCAAAATAAAATGTTTCCCACAGGCTTAGAAACAATATAATTTTTAAGAAGTGATCATCTCATAAGCACAAGGCACCTGAGTCATTCTCTTTCCACTCGGAAAACTCGGAGAGAGTCAGGCATGAGCGCACACAACTGAAATCCTTGCTACTTGGGATCCTTCAGTCAGAACCATCGTGAGTTAAAAGCCATCTTGGACAACTCGCAAAACCCCATCTGAGAATAAGAAGCAAAAGGGGCTGAAGGCATAGCTCAGTGGTAGAAGACCAGTTTAGCATGTGCAAGTAGATTATCTATCTAGTATAGTTTCAATCCCCAGGACCTAAATAAATAAATAGGGAAGCTCTCATTTTCCCTAGGTGGACTAATGGAGGGCAATGATCCTGGGTATAAAATAAACCTGCAAAGCAATTGCCAGACTATAGGGGGAAGCAGGTTCATTTAAGTTTTTCTCTACAAACTAGTTTTTTTTTTCTATTATTTTTTTGGAGGTGCAGAGGAGAGTTAGAATTCGCTCAGAGGATGTTTCCTGGGTGAAATCTTATGCACTTGCTAATCACTGAGTCCAACACCACACTGTCTTAGATGAAGGTATATAAGAGAATACCGTAGTTAGGCTCTTGAACAACATAAAAGCTACACATATTAACGGAGTACCAAGTAACGCTCAAAGTATGTATGCATTGCACAATGTTTATATCAAGTTACGCATATTCATGTCCTCAAACATTTACCATTTCTTTGTGGTGAAAACTTTCAAAATTATGTTTTCTAAGAAGAAGTAGCAGGTACATATTTTAAAGTACTTAATACATTACTGTTATCTCTAATCACTATAGTATTCTGTAGACGCCTGGAGTTCCCAGCTCCTGTCTAACTATACCTTAGTATTCACTGATCGGCTTTGCCCCTTCACTCCTCCTGCCCCTTCTCTGAGAACCAACATTCTACTGTCTCAACTCACAGGAGATCAACTTTTCATAGGTATCACGTAGGAATGAGATCCTGCAATCCTTGTCTTTGCCTGCCTGGCTCATTGCAGTGGACATGATCTTGTCCAGCTCATCCATGCTGTCTGCTTTAAGAATGATAGTGTTCAGTGGTGTGTATGAGGCACACTTTCCTTATCCATTCATTAGCGGATGGACAGTTAGGTCATTCCCACTCCTTGGCTGTTGTGAATAGTGCTGCGATGAATACAAGAGGGCAGATGTCTCTTGACACACTTAACCCACTTCTTTTCGATGTATCCCTAGCAGTGGAACTGCTGGAGCCTCTGGTAGTTCTTTTTAACTTCTTCAAGGACCTCCATACTACTTTCTATAATAGCTGTAGCAATGTATATCCCACCCACAGTGTGCAAGAGTTCCCTTTTCTCCTCATACTCACCAGTTCCTATTATTTTTAGCCCTTTCATATTAGCTATTCCTAATAGGGTAAAACACCAAAAATGTACTCACAGTTCTGGAGGACAAGAAGTCTAAGATTGAGGTGTGGGCAGGCTCAGTGTCTGCTGAGGCCCTCTTCTTGACTAACAAAGGATCATTTTCTTGTATCCCCATGTAGAAGAGAAGGATTATCTTTTCCTTTTCTTTTCTTCTCAGGACACCGGTCCCATTAGACTCTTCCTGACTTAATTACCTCTTCAATATAACTAAATGGCACTGTTGAAGTTATAACTACAGATATAGGTGTATACTTTCAAATACTTTCTATATGTATGCATGCATATTATTTTAATGATATAATATTTTAAATACTATCCTACCACCTTTTTCAAATTAAGCACTCCGTTGTATCACACAATTTGTATTTTTCAACTCTGTCATTGCTGGGACAAAATGCCTGATATATATAACTTAATGGAGGAAGTGCTTCAGTTGACTCATAATTTCAGGGATTTCAGTCCCATGCTCAGCTGGCTCCAAGGTTGGATAATCATGGCAGAAGGACACGGTAGAGTGAAGCTGTTCACTTTCATGGTGGTTGGAAAGCAGAGCACAGGAAAAGACCACCAGCAAGAGATACACCCTTCAAAGGCATATCCTCCAAATGGGCCCCATCTCCTAACAGCACATTCCGCTAGATTTATGGATTAATCTCCTGAGGAGTAGAGCATTACAATGATCCAGTCAACTTTCCAGGAGTCTCTATTCCAGTCACGTGGATAGTTAAGATATAACTCTCACACCATTCATAAGAAAGGATGACAAGGTTACCTATGATTGTTATCACATAAAGATTCTTGGCAGGGGAAAAGAGGTCAATTCTCATTAGGGAAACATAACCTCAGCCAAGAGTTTATCCCCCTACCTGCAGCTTCCTAGCCCCATTATGTGCAAGGACATGAAGCAACTATGAGAGAGAATCAGAAAGCAAGTATGGGAACGAATCAATTTAGATATCAAAATACAAAATGTTAATGTTTTTAACATGCTTAGGGAAATAAAAAGACTAAATTTAAAAATAAAGAAGAAATTAAAAATATATGAAAAATTGACCAAATATTATTTTGAAGTCCTTGAATAGATTTTCTGGAAATATAAAAATACATATTTATTAAAAGGAAAACAAACTTAATATGTGGAAGACATATTTACAGTTCATATGACCTGTAACAATCAAATATTTTACATGTAGGAGTACCTCTTCAAGTTAATGAATGAAAGGTCAACATTTCAATACAGAAATGACCCAGAGATTTCAACGGGTCCTGCAAAAAGATGACATGGATACAAACATCGGAAATGAAAAGCTGAAAGAGATTCTACTGCCCACTTCCGAGTGACTGGTGTTAGCTACAGGAAACGTCATAGTCTCATAGACTGATTGTGGAAGTACAGTTTGCATGTATTTTAGAAAAGTGTAATTTACTATGACCCTCACAGCATAGGGTCCAAAGCCAAGGAGAGCAGTGGGAGATGAAGAAAATGGAAGAATAATAAGAAAGAAAGATACCTACCAAGATTATGCTTCGAAGCTGGGACCAGGTGGACCCATAGCCTTTTGAGCTAATGGCCACCTGGAGTCCAGCGCTCTCTTTATGTATAGTGTAAGACAAACAGGAAACCAAGGTGGGGGTAACTTGTGCTACATGGCCTACGTGGCTTAGGCGGAACTTAGCATGATTGACTCATGATGGGGCATGCGCAGAAAGGAAATAAGGAAGGATACACAATGTAACTGTCTCCTGGGGCTGTGCCATCCAGGGTCTACAGTCTTAGACTGTTGACTTATCTAGACTATGAAGGAGAAAGGGAATTGAGATTAGGTGAAGGGCCATCTTCAGGTTCGGTCAGGGCAGTAACTGGTTAGGATCAACAGCTCATTGCATTTCAAATTCCCTTCTGTCACATCTCTCCTCTTAGTGCATACCCTAGGAGAGGTATTGGGCATTCAAGAGACCCATTTTAAAGGAAGTTGTGCTGAACTCTTAGTGAAAATAGAATTTGTCTTTTGAGAGGAAGATACTAGATAATGTCCTATAAACAACTGCAAATGCATCAGAAGTACATTTTTCTTTTTTTTAAAACTGGGATTTGTAAGAAACAGCTTATTAAAATTCCCACATTCAGGGCAAAAACTTTTAGCAATATTGAAAATAATGAGTATAGCAGGGTGCACAGTTGCATGATTTATAAATCCCATTGATTATTAATAAAAATGTGCTGATTGATAATGCCAAAGACTGAACTATTTTGTAATACTTAAAATGACATTATAAAACAAAATTATATATAAAATCTTTACTACATGAAGAAGTGATTACAGAAATTATAATTGAATACAGAAGGTAGAAAAAATATAAACAGATTCCTGATATCAGGAAGTTAAGTAAAATATTATATTCTTGATAGAGCTTTTAACAGTCATAATTATGCTTTTTTCTTATCCAAATGACTATTTGTTTACATTCATAATTTGGTGGATATTGACTTTAAAAGAGGCTCAAAAATAAGATAAACATTAGGTCTCACAAAACTGGTACTCCTCCTGATTGCAATGGGGGACACTGTAAGCATTTAGAATGCTCTACTTCACTGATTTTAGTGGTAACTATAAAGATGTTTGCTTTCTGATTTAATTAAGCAATACATTAATGTTCCATGCCATTTTCTGTGTATG